ATATATATACATATTTAGCAATGATTTTCTCAAGACCATTTTCCTTAATTATTCTTAGAATTGAAGTGGCATTCACACGAGTTGTGACACAGGAAACCAAATGCCTAATAATCTAATAAATGACGCATATGAGTTGATTAATGCTATTTTCACTATATTAGTATTTCATTGATGCCTAATGCCGGATGAAATGAGTATTTTTATTTTTAGTTGAGGATTACTCAAGTCTATAGTATTCTTTAAATATATTGTTTGAAAATTATGAAAAATCATGCTTCATGTAGTTGAGTCTCTCTAATTTTGTATTCATGTAACATGTTTTATCACTGACTGCTCAAAAGACAAAAGTGGCGAGTACATGTCTAAATTCGCAGCCTTCCATCGGTGTAAAGTGAGAGCTTTCAATGCCCTTAAAACTAAAACAGACTAGACTGGTACTGTGAGCATTTAGCTAGAGCAAAATGGTATCCTCCGCTCCAATATGAGTACAATGACGATGTCCATTTTTTTGCTTTAGGAAACCCCAAATATATATGCGATCAGAACATAAAATAGAAGATGCACGATGGCACTATGTGACAGAGTTCTTTGAAAGTCTCATTAAATTTTATTCAATGGTATTTGAGATGTGCGGATAAGAGATGGGTATTCCCAGTCTTATAGAAAGAACGACAATGTACATGCTTTGCTATGGAAAATTAACCCCAAATATTTCTTCGATCGAAACATTGAATAAAAGGGGACAGTGGTACTAGGTAATTAAGATTCTGCGAAAGTCTCATTAAATTTCACAGGAAGAGTTGCGGATGAGAGATGGATACCTCTATTATTATAGAAAGAATGGCAGTGTCCAAATTTTGCTATGGGAAACCCTATATACCTGCCTCATCGAAAAATGATTGATTGATTGTTTGTTGTTTAACGTCCCTCGCGAGAATTTTTCACTCACATGGAGACGCCACCACTTGCCGGTGGAGGGCTAGTGGTGTACTAGTCTCCACTACCGGTCCCCACGTCCCGCAGTGGGATTCAAACCCACGACGTATGGATCAACTCCTTACTCCGCGACTGTAGAACAGACGCTCTAACCACTGCACCACGCGAGCGACTCGGAGAAATGAAACAAAAGGTGAACAGTGGCACAATGTAATAAAGATTCTCTGAAAGTTTGATTATTCTATTAAGCAGTATAGGAGACCTTGCAGATAAAAGATGGGTAACCCCACCCCACCCCACCCCCAGGTTATGAATGTTCGGCAGTACAGACAGACATCCCTATCACTATATACCCACAGCTTGAAAAACGGAGTTTTTTCAAAATTTTATGCTTTTATTCTTTCAACACTTCAACGTACATAATTCAAGTAGCCTAAAGTGTTGTGTAAGTCCGAATAATTATTGGAAGTAACTACGATACTGAGAATCTTGTACACGATAAGTGTAAGATAAAAGATTCTGTGATTGAAAGGGTTTAAAGTGACAAAAAATTGACAAATGCACCACTTTGAACATAAGTGATGAGTTTTGTAATGAGTCCATGTTACACAAAATTTCTTTTTAAATAAGTATAATTACAAAACATTTAAATTGACTTTGGAAGATTTGTATTTTGACTAAATTCACTTCTACTTCCAAAGCTTATAAAGATAAAGGATCACTTCTTCATGCTTTAGAGATGATGGAGAACAGACTACCGATTAACATCACAGGTCGCTATATAAATTATTCATATTTACATTTATATTTTCTTATATTTTCATGTGTCAATAAAACACAAATTGTGATGTAATGCTAGATCACAAGTAAACTTTTGAAAAACATGTCAGAAAAACATCTTTTGAAATGATCACTGGAGGTAAATTATACATGTTACCGTAAAATGATTATCAAGAGCAAGCATGCAAGTTTTCATAACTCTTCTTTGTGATTTATGGCAAAGAGAAATGAAATAATGCTTAAAATAAATTATGCATTTCCGACACAGTTCTTATTCAACGAACAAAATTGCGTTTAAAGATTTTTTTTCGAAGAATTAAACATTGGCTTTTTAGTCTCTGTGCAAAGTTGAAGTAAAATACTCCATTTGCTTTGACCAAGATTGCAATGTTTTGTTTAATATACTAATATTGCTTCAAGACATAATGAGTCTTGTCTAAAAATGTAATTTCAAACTTTCCTTCAATTTTACAAAATAGCAAAATTATCGCACTTGCCCTTAATTATTTGATAGTCGGATATAAACACTTAACGCATTAAACTTAAAAACTTATTGGTTGCTTTTTGCTTGTGGACTTTTCAATTAATATTAGAGATATTAAAGTTAAAATTCGAAGTTGTTGACCTTGACTCATATCTTACCTAGCCAATGAGATGGCTTAGCAAGACATCCATTATGGATTCAACATTTGTTTTTATTGTAAGTCAGTTCAAAGGACTTGGACTGATACGTTTAACATTAGCTAAAAGCATCTTAAACTAAGACAAGAATGAAGCCTATTAAAAATCCTGTGAGTTGTATTCTAATATGATGTACGAAATATTTATTGAAATGGATGGAGTGATATTAATTATTTAAAATACAGGAAAATGCTTTATTATTATTTTTAGAAACTTTTATTTCATCTGCATATGATATCAAGGAAACGACCGATTTCAATATCTATTTTTCATACACAGTGGTATTCAGTAATGATAAACACCCAAAACAAAACAAAGAAACTTGAATATAGATGTTACATTTTATTGATTGTAAGCAACTGAACAATCGCTACTTTAAAAAAAATAACTTTCAATGCATTCATGGAAATAATTTGTTAGGATAAAAATTCATATCCTAGTCTCAAGGGAATCACACATTCAAAGGATCCACAATTAAGGGAACCCAAGTCTTTCAACTGGAGACAAAATTGTATGAATACTATGGATTCTGTTGAAGATTAAGGAGATACATTGAAACTTTGTCAGAATGAATAAAAAGTAAAAGATGGACAGTGAAATTTCGTATTAAATGGTTGAGCAGCAAAATGCGAAGAATCTGTCCTTCGGCCTTCCGTAGTCTACAATGATTCAGAAGTAATGAAATATGGAGATAACGAACACTATTCAAGCTCAAAGTCCATTCAAACAATACAAATCGGGAGCAGACCAAACACTGACCTCCAAAACATCAGAGATGGGATCAGATGTCATGGAGGAGTGAGCATCCCCTGCCACCGTGTGCTCATTGTCATGATCGGTAAATAACGGAAAAATCCGTCGGCAATTTAAAGTGTAAAACGGCCCTAACAATTATTATGAAAAAAGTCAGTCAGCATATGGCTTAATGATAGATTGTATTTGCTGACAAGGTCATTGTATCGACCATAGAACTTACGAAATTATTGCTTTAAACGAGACTGTTGATATTCTTGTTTCATCAACTTGTTTGTCAATAACTTACCTCGTATTAGAAATTGTTCATACGTAGAACATGCTCTTGCGTATCGAATCAACTGATAGATATACACTACATATGCAGGTGATAAGGGTATATTGCTGCATAAGTAAGGGAAGTTGACGATTGAAAAGTTAAGGTCATCACGTTTATCATAAAGCTTTGTTGTTAGATTACCATTAACGTCTTTTTCTAATAAAATATCCAAATATGAAACAGATGTGTCAGACTCTGTGGTATCTTTTATCTCAAGCTCACCGGGATATATCGTGTCGACAAAAGAATGGAAATAACCATTGTTAATTGACAAGACGTCGTCAATATATCTAAATGTCGAGTTGAAGGCCACAGCAAGTGTTTTCTTCTTTTCACATATTTTGAACAAATTCTGCTTAATATGTGTAAAAAATAATAACGGGGCGCAATTGGTACCCATGGGAATTCCAATAGAGTGTTTGAAGACCTGGTCTCCTAAAACCACATAGATATTGTCAATCAGAAACTCGAGCATCTGTTCAAAAAATTAATGCTTTTCACTATATAATCAATAGGGCCCCGCCCTAACACCAGAAGCCCTGACCCAGGGGCCATGAATTTCACAATTTTGGAAAAAAACATCAGTGCTTAACATAACATGCACATAGTTTGTTTAAATGATACCCAGGAGAAGAGAAAAAGATTTTCAAAGAAATAATGCACTTTCACTAAATGATCTTTATAGCCCCGCCCTAGCACAAGAACCCCTGACCCTGGGGCCATGGATTTCACAATTTTGGTAGAGGGCCCAATGCTTATTACAATCATGCCAACAGTTTGACTGCTTGATGTCCAGGAGTAAAGAAGAAGATTTTTAAAGATTGCATCAATTTTGGTGGTTTTAGCCCCACCCCTGGGGCCCCAGGAGGGCAGGGACCATGAAATTCTCACTTTTTGTTCCCCTTTATCCAAAGATGTTATATGCCAAAATTGGTTGAAATTGGTTTAGCGGTTCTAGAGAAGAAGTTGAAAATGTTCAAAAGTTAACGCACGACGGACGACGCACGACGACGGACAAATCAGATAGCAACAGGTCACCTGAGTGACTCAGGTGAACTAAAAAGAGAAGAGAAGAGAAGAGAGAGAGAGAGAGAGAGAGAGAGAGAGAGAGAGAGAGAGAGAGAGATATCTTTTTATATTTGAATGCTACTAGAAAATGACATTGATGACAAACTAACAACTAAACTTTACGATAAACAAAATGAATTTAACCTTTCTTTTGTCAAATCTGCTCATTTACCTTTGTTAACAGCATACATGTATGATGTTTATTTCTCCCATGATGCTATATGCAAGTATATGTTCTGCATACGAACAATACTCAACAGAGGCAGGCTACTGACAAGTACATTGATGTTACAAGGATATCAACAATTTCGTTCAAAGTCAACATTTCTATGATCGATACAATGCCCTTTCATTTTCAACCTGTAGTTAGATTGAATGTTGACTGACGTATTTAATAAACATCGTTAGGCCATTTTTTTTTCAAATTGAATTTTCTCTACCCGATCAAGACAAGGGGTTCACGATGGGTTTGACAGGAGATGCTTACTCCTCCATGGCACAGTATCCAACCTCTAGTATTTTCAGAGATCCGTGAACAATAATTGGACTTTTGAGCATGATTACTTTTCATCGTCTTCAAATTTCATTCTACAACTTTTCAAGATGACCGATGACTTTCAAAATCTATCTATCACGTGTGTCGGAAGATAATTCTGACTCAACCCGTTGGTTCCTTAAACTTAAATTTGCCAGCAAAGGAATAGATGCAGTGAATATTAGTAACATCCTTAACAGTGTTCCAGCTAGGATCTGAAAATGGAGGGGTGCAAGAGAAGGGCACTTTTTCGCAACCTACCGTTTGTCACGAGCTTTGTTACATAGGCGTATCTTATAATATTAATGAATTCCCTCAAATATTAATTTATTTAACCTTATTGATTTTAAGATATATAAAAAGAGTTTTAAAAATCCTCTGAGAATAAATATTACTTTCTTTCTCTTTTTTAATCATTTTCTATTCTTATTTCCTATTTTCAATAATAGCACTATACTTCTTATTATAAACTAGCTAGTGTCTTTCATTATTCAGTGCAGTACATGTTGATGTTCATGTGCTGATTGAGTCTGTTTTTGGCAAATGTATAAAATAGATACAGTATCTGTAGGTCATCAGTAACATATTAGTATTAAACTTACAATTTAAAGCTAATATCATTTTTGCTTGTTTTATCATATTGGTCATGTTGGTGGCAGATAATTGATTAATGAAATTAAGATTTTAAACTTCTGCAATGAAATCGAATACAGTTAAATATCTGTAAATGTATAAAATACCTTCCAGAGTGTCAAAAATTATAATGAAGGAGAAAATAATTGTTTCTGTTAATTGAATATTTATACTTGTTTCTGTACTATTTAAATTTTAAATTCCTCCCTTTTTTTTTAGAAAAACGTTAACGATTTCAATAAAAGTGAAGGGTGAAGGTCAATGTTAATGCTACTTTCACTTCGTGATTTATTTTTAGAACGCTATAATACAAGACCCTAGTTTTATATTAATTAAAACAGATAGCTTGGACATTCTCAAATTATTTCAGCTTTTAACCCCTATTCAGACTGTCAAGTGATCAAAGTAATTACCTAATCACCTGTTATTGAAAGTAAGCACCTGTATAGTACATAGGTACCGTGATGCGAGTTTCATTGCGTAATCGTCCATGGCAGGAGGTGTGAATTGCTGATTGTCCTTAGGTAATCTGCTTTGGAACACATTAATTATTTTAATGAGGGAAAAGGACAGTCAGAATGATACGGGAAACTAACAAGGGACACAGGGGCGCCTGTGGGAGGCAGAGGGGCGCACTGATTTGAGGGCGGGGCCCGGCGCCCCTCCATTTCACCCTAGCTGGAACACTGCTTAATCAAAAGTTCAGTCTTGCATTCCACCATATTTCAAGTTGAAGTCTACACCCTGCATTTCCCACAGGTATTCTCAAACTGTTGCTTCGAAACCAAATCTTACAGTCTAGATAATGAACAGCTAAAACAATATCCTTTTGAGTGTACTCTGCTCTTCTTCTTTCAGCTATAGTCCTCTGGACACGTCATCACCGGTGATGTGAATACAGTTGAAATGAAGACAATCAATTTAAAAGGTCCTAAATCCCGATCTTTTCGCAACAAAACATTTCTATTATGAATTCTGTCGAAGATTATGCCAGATTGTTGGGCTAAATATGAAGGGGGAACTGAACACTTTGTCAGAATGGATGAAGTGTTTTAGAAATATATTAGAGAACCGTATTAGAAAATTAAAAGACAATATGCAAACCATCTATCCTTTTATTTTCACTAAATCGGAGGTAATAAAAAGAATTAGAAAGACTACATGAACAATATGTAGAGGTTCCAGCAGAAAAGGTCTGTAACAATATTGTCTTTGTTTGTAAGGCTCATTATTATATCTGTACTTAAGAACTTGGTTTTAATTCTACGTCTGGAACTTAAACTACAATTCGCTTTCTTAGGATGAAATTCTTCAAAATCACATTTTATTGTTCAATACTTTTTCCTTTCCCTCTGCCATTTCTCAACACAGTGTCATAGGCTGTGACGTCTTAGTGGAGCGGTTGAGACGTCATAGCTTAGCTATTGTGAGATTGAAAACATTGTAACATGGACTTTTAGCAACATATTTGGGAAGAAATTGGCAGTTTACTCTCTATCAAGATGGTTTAGTTACTCTCTCTATCTTATGTCAGACCAGAAATTATGTTTTACTTACTTTGATATACTTTCACATTGTGACAGAATATCACTTTGGTATCCTTTCACACTTTCACACTGTGACAGAATATAACATTTATTCAATAAATAAATCACAGTATTTCACTATTGAAAATGTAATAAATATATTCATTATATGATTGAATAATACCTAACTCTATGATTGGCTGAGATCCAACAATGCAGAAAAAATACTACGTTATATTCACCTGCACGTGACCTTCCAGGTGAATATAAGGATTTATTTTCTCTACATTGGTAAAAAAATAGATCGGGAAATTCCAAATTGATACAGATAGTTTCGAAAAGCTACCGACTTCCACTCAGGTGAACATAACTTATAATTTGGGGTGGGGTTAGTTGTGGGATGGGGGGTGCAGGGGACCGACCCCCACACAATTTTTTTGCTGAACGTAAATATTTACTTTTAATTTAGACTATAAATATTCATTGAAAGGCTAGTCCCCCTCTAATGGACCTTATTCACCCACCCCCTAAACCCAACCCAACCCCAAAACAAAGTTTTAAGATTTAAAATCTCTGTTCGTAGGGGTTAAGATTTTTTTTCAGCTGTCATTTTTCCCTGATAATGTCCCCCTTTCAAAATCATTCCTGTAAAAGAGCCTGTCAACTAAAGTAGATTTTTAAAAAAAATTCCAAATGAACACGACTGGTTACGTTCATTTATATGGCATGTAAAAGTTTCAATATTCGATCTTTTGCATTTGTATTGATTAATTTTCCATTTAAATTCAGTCTATAATTTTCCATTCGAATTGTATATTTTTCCATTTGTATTGTATGATATTTATTTGTATTCTATAATATTCCATTTGTATTCTATAATTTTTCATTTGTGTTGTATAATTTTTCATTTGTATTGTATAATTTTTCATTTGTATTCAATAATTTTTCATTTGTATTGTATGATTTTTCATTTGTATTGTAGAATTTTGCATTTGTATTGTATAATTTTGCATTTATATTGTATAATTTTTCATTTCTATTGTATAATTTTAATTGGTATTTTATAATTTTCCATTTGTATTGTATAATTTTTTTACTTGTATAATTTTTTACTTGTATTGTATAACTTTTTATTTGTTATTGTATAATTTTTATTTTTATAATCAATAATTTTCCATTTATATTGTATAATTTTTCATTTGTAATGTATAATTTTTCATTTGTATTGTATAATTTTACAATACAAATGGACAAATATAGAATACAAAAGGAGAATTATACAAATGAGAAATTATACAATACAAATGGAAAATTATACAATACAAATTTAAAATTATACAATACAAATGGAAAATTATAGAATACAAATAAAAATTATACAATACAAATAAAAAAAAAATACAAAATAATACAATACAAAATTTAAAAAAAAACCCAGTACAGATGGAAAATTATACAATACAAATGGAAAAGATCGAATATTGCAACGTTTGACATGCCAATTATTTAACCCTGCTTCTCTCATTGTATTCGGCTAGGACTTCGGCAAATGTAAACAAGTAAGATGGCATGAACTGCTTAATGAGTTCGTATCATTTAATCATTGAATCATAAAATACAACAATTATTGCTGATTTTCTTAGTTAATACGATGATTTAGCCACCTTCGAGGTACAATATTGTACTCCTCGGGTGGCTAAATAATCGTATTGACCTCAAAAAAAAAAAAAAAAAAAAGAAAAAAGAAAAAACAAACAAACAAACAAACAAAACATCAATAGTTGTATTATATATATATATATATATATATATATATATATATATATATATATATATATATATATATATATATATATATATATATATATATATATATATATATATATATATATATATTAGGGATGGCAGTTTGTAACCGGTTAATCGATTACTCGGTCGGAACGATGGTAATCGGTTAGAAAATCTGTAATCGGTTAGTCGAAAAAAAATAGAATGTATGTAAATTTGAATGTAGTTTTCTTAAATTCATTTTTATAAAACAAACCTCTGCATAGATGTTGATAATTTAGCGTTTTCACATACTTATTTAAGTTGATTTGGTGGTAATTATGGCTCGCCGGATTGAGATCGCGGGGTAATTGGTCAGTTTGTGAAGTGTTAATTACTGGTTAAACAACAAGTCGTTACCCCGACAGTCCTGTTACTCTTTAATGATATTATAATTAAGTAAATCAAGTATGAGCTTAGTGAATTGGTATGTATCTTTTGCAGTTATCCATCAAATTATATTTACAATGTTTGTCTTATAATTTATTAGACAAACATTGTAAATGAAGCGAAAGTTCCGACTTAATTTTGATTATGGTAGCAATGCTGTATGAAAACTTGTGTGACATCATCTATGTCTGATATCTCAGGCATGTTTCACGGGTTTTCTTAATTTTTTTCCTGTCGATTGAAATTGAAATAAAATATATATTTACATGAAGATTCGTGATCAAGGTAAACAGAATGTTTCTAACTTTTAATGTCTTTTTAGTCTTCTTGTGTTTATGTGAATAGAGGTTCATGGAAAAAAGTCATGAAAATGTGTATTTTGATACGATTAACCGGTTAATCGGTCGGAACGTGTTGCGGTTAACCGATTAGCAATTCTGTATTCGATTGCCATCCCTAATATATATATATATATATATATATATATATATATATATATATATATATATATATATATATATATATATATATATATATATATATATATATATACTCTAAATTGCAAATGAAAACACACTGCAATAAAATTTATGAATATACATGTATGCATCTTAGGGGTTCTAAGAAATCGTCGCTGTTAATCAATTTTTTTATCTACCACTAAGGACAAGTCTATATTTATAAATAATTTAAAGAATTCTCTCATAAAATTTATTTATACGAGTTTAAATACGGATGCAAAAGCCATTTCAAAAGGTACATCTTAATTCGATTTATATCAAGTGGGATAAGTTTTACATATTTACGTGATTTTTATGTTGTTTACATGCATGTTTAATCAATTAATAAAGCTTAGAATTTAAAAAAAGAAAAAGATTTGCTATTATAAGCTTTAAAATATAGTTTATAAAAATTTATTTGGTTGAGTTAAATACCATTTTCATAATAATTTCTTTTTATACAAATCAATAGTCACAACATGGTAGAAATTTTGTAGCGATGTGCTTACCTGTATGAAAAAGCGCATGTTCTGATGAAGACGATCTAATTAAAATCTGATCCTTTGATCCGCTCGCATAGATCGCTACTCTTGAGTAGCTATCTATCTGAGTGGATGAAAGGATCTGATTTTTATCAGACTGGTAAAAGGATTTTCAGAATAGCTTTATGGTGTGTATATTTATCAAAAATTACGCTTATATGGACAGAGTTAGAAATACCTGTATAATTTATAGAACATCTTAAATTCCACTCTTCCATTTATTTATAATAGTCGCCCGCGTGGCGCAGTGGTAGAGCGTTTGTCCCTCTGTCTGTCTGTCAGTCTGACCCACTTGGTTTTCCGCACTTTTTTTTCTAAACACTTGCAGATATTGAGCTGATTTTTGGTATATGGGTGTATATTGATGAGTTACAGATCAAGTTTGCATTTCGTTCCGCTTTAATGATTTTTGACGGAATAACGATCTTTCAATTTTTCAGGGTTTTCCGCAATTTTTTTTCTAAACGCTTGCAGATATTGATCTGATTTTTGGTATGTGACTTTACCTTGATGAGTTACAGATTAAGTTTCATTATGTTCCGCTTCATTGATTTTTGACGGAATTATGGCATTTTCAATTTTTAACGGGAACCAGGTTACACTTGCCGGTAGGGGGCTAGTATTGCTAATGCTTGTTGGTTTGGGTGCGATGTGATCTTTTGAGTCCTAAGATATTTTATTCATATTATACATTGTATACAGATGCAAAACAGAGTTTGTTATTCTTGGAGGCTGTAAATCTTCTCTAATGACAATATCAGATCTTATTCATATTATTTACAGACGCAAAACCGAGTTCGTTATTCTTAGAAGCTGTTAATCTTCTCTAATGACAATATCAAATCTTAATAGCTTTTGATCCTTTTATATCAATAACTCTAAACCATTAAGAAAATAAAACCCGAAATCATTCCTCGTGATACGTTAAAAACTAGTAGATGAAAGATATGAACTAAAATAAACACATAACAGAACTTCTCCATTCGAATTGTCATATATATTTAGTTGTTTTCAATATCATCAATCATATATAAATGCAAAAATTGGCTGATATCTTCTAGGAAAATTGTTTTTCGAGAAAAAAAAATCATATCCCTCTCAGAGCACTTCCTCTTTATTGATTATATGTCAGCCATATTTATCATAAAGGAATCGTCAACTTCATTATACAATTTTCTACTCATCAATTATTCAATGAGAAGTCATCTGACAAAGTCAATTACCGAGCAGTCAATATTGGACAATTCACTTTCACACACTGTTAAAGAAAAATGACAAATGCACAATTTTTGCATGCTTTCTTTCATATTGGATTTGTGTTATACAGTGGTAGGTATTTGAAAAAAAAAAGTTTACTAACTTCATAGAATTAAGTGTTTCATGTATTTTAAATATCGTTTGTTTGTTTGATTTTTAATTCGCGAAGTTGACAACGATATCATATACGTTGTCATCAAAGATACTAGTACACTATAATAAAGGTGCTGTAATTAGGAAAAAAATAAGGTGCATTGACCCTCTGATAAGAGGTATAACTCTCATTGGGATAAATTACTATTATTCCTTTATAAAATTGTCAAGTTAATTCATGTAGGCCATTCTTAAAAAATTTTGCCCCGCAAGGTATTTTGAAATTATGTGCATTTTAGTTATAAATGATATTTCTTTTGGAAAATCATGAGTGCTAAGGGAAAAAAACCCATGAGTGAGCAGAAGGGTGATGAACCTTAAATGAATAGCAATTATACTTTCTTATTTTATTTAAAACTTACAGGCGAATCTGGGTAGTTGTTAGTAAAACAGTCTCTGATTTCCGAATAATAAATGAAATAATGTTAAAGTTTATCAGTCGAAATTGCAGAAAGAATAACTCTTTATGAACAAACATTTTTATGTCTCTGATTACCAAATTATAATTGAAATAATGTTCAAATTTATCAATCGAAATTGCAGAAGAAATAATTCTTTATAAACCGACATTTATGTCTCTGATTACCAAATTATAATTGAAAAAATGTTCACGTTTATCATTCGAAAATGCAGTAGGAATAACTCTTTATGAACCAACATTTATGTCACTGATTACCGAATAATAATTGAAATAATGTTCAAGCTTATTAATTGAAATTGCAAAAAGGAATAACTCTTTATGAACCAACATATCTGTCTCTGATTACCGAATTATAAATGAAATAATGTTCATGTTAATCAATCGAAATAGCAGAAGGAATAACTCTTTATGAACCAACATTTACCAGTGAATGGATCACCGTAAAAGCTCAAGATGACAATAAGTGTGAATTCTACGTCCATTTTCTGGATGGTTTTAAAACAACAACCAGACCTGTCAAAGTAATAGTTGAAGTAAAAATCGAAGATGGTGGAGAATCGTTCATCTTTAACGCTTTCGGTTCCTCGCCACGAGATGATGACAAAAATGAGAAATATGGCGGGGTTGTTTATTTCTACAATGCTAGTGGTGTGCTAATTTTCTTGCCAAACAAGTATAATAAAGCTGATGACGGGAAAGCTGTATATCTGGGTTTGTAAACTTGTATTTTTTGTTTGTTTGTTTTTTTCTTACTTTTTTTTGTTTCTTTGTATTTTGAAATTAAACATATTATTTTGGTCGTAATAAAGACCATTCCAGACCTGTGCATTAAAAATATCAGAACAATCAAGGTTTTGTTTTAAGTGAATATCAATATAAATTTAAAATTTTTACGCAAATGTCATGAATCACAATTTCTGCAAATATTTCATAAGATAAGGAAAAAGACAAGTGAGTGTAAAAATGTTGTCAATCTAATCCAAAGCAAATACATGATGTAAATATATGCAAAGACTGGTCTCTTTCACTCCTTTATGTTTTTAAATATGTAAAAATCTGCAATTAAGCATCTTAACTTTTGGAGCTATATAAGGTGTACAGAAAAAAGTTTAGCATTTCCTAGTTATTTTGAAATTAGAAATAGTAAATTTGTTGTTGGTAACTGACCATAGGACTTAAAAAAGAGACCCATGGGCCTTGATGGTAACCTTAGTATATTATGAGTACCTCTGGTTTCACCACTTTAGCCAAACCTGGAAATGGAACTCTGGCCCCATGTGACAACATTTTTTAGGGTGCTGAGGACTGTATAATCATTGTTATATCCATACAGTTTGTCCCGTTTGTCCCATACAAGTTCTGAAGGTAAGGTAATAAATTTTCCATATACCGGTACATCCAACTGAGCCCCACGCTGTAGCCTGACCCATAGACATCGGAGACATAAATTATTTTATTACAGGCCTACAGCTAATTATAACAATGCATACAATTTGTCTGCTAGATATCTATGACATTTAAAAAAGATATTGAATGATGTAATGCAATGCAATAAATGACCAACCTAACCCAACCCTAGGGTCTGAACCACTGATCAGGGGGCCATGAATTTTACAATTTTGGTAGAGAGTGAGTGTTAATTATAATCATGTAAACAGCCGTTTCTCTGTTACCCGTATAGTGCATTTTCAGTGTCTGATCAACTTAGACTCACCCTGCGGTCTTAAGCTATATGAAAAAGAAGCAACCTTATAGTTTAGAAATAGGGTTAAGTACTCCTTAAATCATATAATAAGTTTTCCAACTAGATGTCTTTTTAAAAGAGGACAATTTTCAAAAAAGTAATGTATTTGTAAATTACTAGCATGTCCGATTTAGCCCCACTCTGGGGCCTGAATGCAGGAACAAAAAGCCATGAATATTACAACTTTGGAAGAGTTAAATACACAATATAATAATTCATTTTTCCCTTCTCATTGTCCATGAGTGAAGCACAAGTTTTTAGACTGCTATTAACAGGAGTAAAAAGAAGATTTTTGAAGATCGCATAAATTTTATAGTTTTTGCCACATCCCTCAGTCCCCAGGGGAGGAAGAGACCATTAAATTCACAAATTGCTTCATACATGTACCAAACCTGGTTAGAATTGTTTCAGCCATCCCAGAGAAAAGGCCCTTTGTATACATAATTAGTTCCATAAAATGTATTGATCTCCAGATTTCAAAAATCGATAAGCAATGGTTATAGCTCACTTCAGTCTCTTATTGAAATTCATTATTCAAATCTTTAGGACGAATCTTTGGTAGATTTGGAAGTGTTTTCACTGCTTGATGATTTGATTTATGAAGACGTATATATATATATATATATATATATATATATATATATATATATATATATATATATATATATATATATATATATATATATATATAAAATGGCAATTTGTAATCGGTTAACCGGTTACTCGGTCGGAACGATGTAATCGGTTAAAAAATCTGTAATCGGTTAGTCGGAAAAAAATAAAATAGGTGTAAATTTCCTTAAAACACGATTTACAATGTTAAAAAAAAAAACCCCGAATATTGATAAGTTATAACGTTTCCACATTTAATTCGGCTGATTTGGAGGTAAATAATTTAATTAAGACTCTAAAGATTGAATTTGTTGGGGGTAATTCATCACTTTGCGAAGTGTTAATTGCTGTTTAAATACCATGTCGTTATCCAGCCTGTCTTAATTGTGATATTAATTAAATCTTTGTTGAGTTCTGTTAAATGATTGCTATATGTGTATCTTACCCAGTCTGTCCTTTGCAGTTATCTATCAAATTATATTTTCAAACAAACATTGTAAATTATTTCAGACTCAGTTTCTGTTTATGGTGACAATGCACAATGACCTTGTGTTGTAACAATATCAATTTCTGCGATATTTAAGAGATGTTTCATGGTTTCCTTATTTGTTCTTGCCGTTGAAATAAAATATAATATGTAGCGTACTAATCAAGCATTAACGCCTTTTTCAGTTTTCTTGTATATATAACTAGAGTTTACTTGAAAAATGAAAAATGAAATATAAGGAAAAAGTGTATTTTGATACGATTAACCGATTAATCGGTCGGAACGTCTTTCGGTTAACCGATTAGCAATTCTGTATTCGATTGCCATCCCTAATATATATATATATATATATATATATATATATATATATACACACACACACATACATACATACATGTTATAATTGAAATGTTCTGACATACTAGTATCAGGCATAAATTTTTTGAGCAGGCCCGTAGTACGCAGGGTGGGGGTGGGGGACAGAGGAGGCGCCCTCCACTTATTCTTCATTCTGAGAAATTTGAAATTTTTTGATGTAGTTTTAAATGTAAATATGTAAATTTTCATTTGGAAGCTGCCCCCTCAACCTTATTGTTGTTTTACGGCCAAATAGTGGTAAATTCCAGCATTTTAAAAATGTACCGTCAAGTTGGAGAAAGGCCCAACTAATGATTAAACTTTCTCGAGATAATATGAGCTGTTTTTAAATTTTAAATAAATCAAACATTTTCTGTGATTATGTTTACCATTTGTACATCACTACAACATTACTATGTATGGATGTACAAAAAGATAAAACAAACTTAAGTGGGTTTTTTTTTTTACTTTTCATATATAATGCATTAACAATACATATATTTTAATAACAACTTCTAATATATTTGACTTTTATGAAGAAAAATATTTGTTACGGGACTTGTACATTTGTTAACACAATTTCTATGTTGCAATCTGGAAAATGGTTCGTAATGTTAAAATTTATTTTAAAAGGAGAAAAGGACGTTTGGTACCAACCAACCTCTCATTCAAACGAGAAAATTAAAAATGAATTTGTTGATGCGGAAGTTCGAGTAAAGATGTGGCGATATGACGATTTGCCCCCACAGTACGATTCTGGTTTCATATACACAATAAAATCAAGACATCAAGGTAAAATAGGAATGTGAACTGTTTAAGAACCCTCTATATACTGCACACTAAAGAGTTCCGATTCCATGGTATTTTTCTGCAGTTAGAGTGATCTGCTCTTATATCTTAAATGAAATAAATTGACATCTTAAGTCAATTTGTAATCAATTCAAGCAATTCAATTAGTTTTATTTGGCCTAAATGGATTAATTGAATACTTTATTTGCATGTACTTTTCCCATTTAAGTAAGCAACAATAATTTCAGTTCAACAAAAATTAATTTCTTTGAATATTTTTCTGGGGGTCAGTGGCAGGTACTCTATGCTGAAAATTAAACAGATAAACTTTTATATGTTATAATTTTCTTAGAGTCCAAAAAACAGTTTTTGTGGTGTATAGAGGGTCCTTAAAAGGGATATAATGTAGATCACAAAATTTTCGTGACACCTTATTTTCGTATAACAGACATATGGTATTACAATAGCGAAACATAATTAATTTTCACGAAATTTTGCTTATTGTTCTAAATAAACTTTAGTGACATAAGTATACGCGGGATTAAAATTTTCGCAAGTACGCGGTCTAGCGTTAATAAAGTTCTCGGAAATAAAAAAGTGATTTACAGTCGTCATATTAATGAATTCAGTTTTAATTAAACGAATTTTTTATTTTGTAAAAAAAAAAAATAACCGTGTAGTATATACTTTCTCTTGTTCCGGAGTGTCGGAATTATCCCTGTCATACTGTAGATTCCTAAATTTACGCGAGGAATTAATTATCGCGTAAATTCGCGAGAAACGCCACCAGCGAAATAAAATTACTCGCTTTTATTTTTATTGTGCTCATTTATTTATATTTTTCATCAGTCTGTATTGTTGTGCTGAGCTTATTTTCCCAATTAATCCTTGAATAACTTGAATATCTTGGGGCCATACGTATTCCAAAATTAAAAAGCATTTTCGGGAGATTGGTTAAGAAAAATTGTCGCAAGTTTGGAAATGTTTGTTTATATTTCAAAACATTGCATCGAAGATTATAATTATTTCTTTAATCAGGCCGACAATTGTTAAATATTTTAACCCAAGCAGTATATTTAACAAAACTGTAACAATCAAGCCTTTTTTAAGACGATTGGTTTCATCATTTGGAGCTTCAAAATGTCATTTTTCAAATTTATGTTTTGGTTGTATACACTTCAAATCTATATACTTATTTCAAACATTGACAAACACGTAGAATTCCTTACAGTATGCATACAAAGGTCTACATCCAATTCTATTTCCTAATACCAATGTCAAAAACCTATTGCATCATGAGGGTAGGATGACACATATGAAGATAAATCAGAACTTATTTATTTCCTCGATTATTCTAATATATTAACATGCTCATTGAATATTAAAATATGAATTATCGGCAAACTTAACATCCCTAGGAAGAACTTTTTTCAAACAATTTATTAAAGTCCTTGCAGCAAAGCAAATAAAAACCTAAATGGATATAAAGTTGATTAAAAACAAAACGAATATATATACTTCTCAGCTTTTTTTTGGCAAACAAAAAGAAAATAAAATTCATCTTTCTTTTGTGTTGCATGTCAAAAGTTGCATTATTCGACTATATAATGCAAATAAAAAAGTATTTTTTACAATACAAATAGAAAATAATGGAAAATTATACATTACAAATGGAAAAGGTCGAATATTGCAACGTTTGACATGCCATACTTTGTAGATAAAATTCAATTAGAGGTGCCCATCAATTTGACTTCAAATCCAGATATGATTGTAGTCCAAGCTGAACCAATAACAATTTTGGACGAAATGCCGGGACTTATTTCGGAAGGAGGCGGTAGTTTTGTAGCAATTGTTCACTTTAATTTTCAAACAAAACTTTAATAAAATTGAATTATTTTCTGCAAGCAAAAATTGAAGAGAGGAGTCACTATTTCGTTTTTATAAATCTCTATTTTTATTAATTCATCTGACATAGGCGTTCCGGGATGTCTTGGTTGTGGTGAACAAGCTGGTGGACTGTCATTTGCATACAATGCTTCTCATGTTCGACTGTGGGTTAAACTGAACTGTAAGAAAACATTTTTTTCTTCTAGCTTTCGATTATATGTATAACAAAATGATAATAACATATATCATACAAAGATAAGGAAATATTCCAATAATTGCTAGATCCGATAACTAGTGCAGCAGACGGATGGGGAGACAGAGACTATCCATCAAACCGTTTAATGTCCTCGGAAGTGAAAGTCAGGATTCTTGCCTGGATTTTTGACAATGCAGTGAACACATGTCAATGGAAAGAAACATTGACAACAGACATTGCAGTATCTGTACAAACAAGTCCGAAGATGATATTCACGCGTGAAGTGGTAACCGAAGCTTCTCTTGTGATGGTGAAGGTACGTCATTCATTTAGTGCCCTGTTCACACGGAGAATTTAATGCGAATTAGTTTAATTCGAATTAGTATACTGCGCATTAATTTACTGCGAATTAAACTCCCTGTGAACAGGGCATTAGTTTACGTTGCATTTTACTGCCATGTGAACGCAATTTATGCCCTGTTCACACAGAGAGTTTAATTCGCAGTAAATTAATGCGAAGTAAAATAATGCGAATTAAACTAATGTGAATTAAACTGTGTTCACACGATAGCTAATGCGAAATATATACATTTGTGGTATCTCTGTATTATATAAACATGCAGAGAGAAAATATCTTCATACCTGTATGAAGTTTTTCGAAAGTCATAGGTCATTACGTGACCTAATCACGCAGCGCAGCAATATCTACATAAAAGGACTTACTTATCAATATAGCATGTTTTTCATGCATAAAAATGTACAAAATACGCAAGTAAAATAATAATCATTTTATTTACAATGTAAACGAGTATTTAATACAGTTCTTGATCGATTTTACATACAGAATAGAAAACTACGTGTTATAAGTTTCATGTCTGAGCTGCATAGTCTCAACGTTTACCCTTATTTTTCTCGCAGACCTCTGTGATAATAATTTTTTTTTCATTAAACTTTACTCACAATAAATTTGAAAATCTGCTGAAAAACATCAATGTAATGCAATCACGCCACAAACAGCTGACAAACACTGCGCTTTGGAAGTTCGGTAGGCACACCTCCATCATCGAGATCGTTGTGACGTTGTCTTAACAATGTAAGTGTTTCACGATGTACTTGTTCATAAATCAACTCTTGAATTCATAAGGAACAACAAGCATGGCTTTGGCATGGCTTCCACTTTTATTGAACACGTGACAAGGGAGCAGTCATTGTATCATGCATAATGATGATAGTGAGTAATCATTATACATATATAGAATACTGTCACATCCCCCTTTCTTTAAAATGTTAAGTTTACAAATTTCTGCTAATACTGAAACTTTACTGTCCTTGAATGATTGTCCATTTGAGTGTTTGAAAACCATGACCAAATCACTATAATAATTAAACATTAAACAAACAGTTTGTACATTCAACATGCAATATTATGTCAGAGAATGAGAAACAAGATTTCATAACAATCAAGTCTGACTAGCAAATACAAGGCTATTTGCCCTGTTAAGGAGACTAGGGATTATTATGCCCTCAACACAGTCTTCCTTTGCAAACTAAACTACAACAGTAAGTTTTAACTAAGGCAAGTAATTATTTACATGAAGTCTAAGCTAAACTTAGAAATAGGTAGAAGAGGAGTTTTTATTACCTCTTTCACTATCTACCTTTGCCCTACACATCACGGTAACGCATTGGTTTCACAACTACACGACCACTACGTGTTTTCATTGAACTTGATGATACTGGTTGCTTGGGACGCTGAACAGGTACGGAATCTTGTGTATTGCGTAATTCTGATGTTGGTGGAGCTGGTTTTGGTTCATTACTGACTATTATAGCGAGCGCAGCGAGCGGCGCGAAGCGCCGCTCGTCACTGCGAGCTCTAACGACAACGCCTGGGCGATGAGAAAATTCGGACTACTGCACATTCATTCAATAGAATTTTTTTCCGCAGTAATTCTGGACCCACAATGCATCGCTTGTTTAAGCTACGTTCTCGCGAGAATAACAACTGCAGTTTAACTATCAAAAAATAAACTCGCCTTGATTTAATGGATATATTGCAGATAAATAATAAATAAAACGTTCTTCATTAAAGTCAACAATGTTCAGGCTTCGGTTTGGTAAATACGACGTCATGTGACGTCAGAGTCTAGACGCACCAAATGTCACGTGCAGTTTGATGAACGAGTCCGATCTAAATTAAACCTGAATAAATATCTGCGCTCGCCCTAACGGTCGCACCGTCAACATATTAGGAACTGGGTCATCATTGCACTGTGATTGATCAGTCAACAGTTCAGGCTCTGAATTTTCATGATCAGGGCGGAATGGTTCTCGACTAAATCGGAGATGACGTCGATTGCGTCGGTATACACGACCATCCTCGGTTCTCACTTTGTATGAATGTATATCACTCTGTCCCTGAACAAATGCTTTTTTCCATCCCTTTTCATTTCCTGTAGGTCTAATACGAACGGTATCTTCTTCTGATAAGGGTTTCAGCTCCTTAGCTCCTCGATTATAGTAGTATGTCTGACGTTCCTTGCGTTCATAGAGTTTTTCCCTGGTGCGGTCAGCATAACGTGGTCTGAGTAGATATTCAGCTACTGGTAATAGCGTTTTGGTGCGTCTACCAAAAATCCGTTGTGCAGGTGAGTAGCCTATTCCTTGAGTAGGCGTATTGCGTAGATCCAGAAGCGCCAAAAATGGATCTTTACCGTCCATTGTACACTTATGAATAAGCCGTTTGGCAATCTTTACAGAGTTCTCGGCCTTGCCATTAGATTGTGCATATCTAGGGGACGCTGTAACATGCTCGAATTCATAACTTTTACTGAATTCTGCAAACTCTCGACTTCCAAATGGCGGTCCATTGTCCGATATTACTCCATCTGGGATTCCATGACGTGCGAACTGTGATTTCATCATGCGAATGATTGAACTTCCTGTTTTACTATGAAGTCTCTCAACCTCAAAGTAATCTGAACAGTAATCTGCGAGTATGAGGTAATCTTTGCTTTCACATTCAAACAGATCACATCGTATTGTTTGCCAAGGACGAATAGGAATCTTATGGCTGATCATAGGCTTCTTCTGTTGATCATCCTGGTAAGTATTACATGCAGCACATTGACCAATGTACGATTCAATGTCCTTCGACATATTTTGCCAGTAGACATAGTCCTGGGCACGACGGATACATCCTTGGATACCAATATGAGAGTTATGTATACGCTGTACTATACTATGTGTGATAGATCTAGGAACGACAACTCGCTCGGCCTTGTAGATGACACCGTTTTGAACGACTAACTCCTCTCTAAACGGAAAATACACTTGTATATCCGGGTGGACTTCTTTCGAAGAGTCAGACCATCCATCAAGTATGATCTTCTTCAGCAACTGTAGAGCTTCATCTTTTTCTGTAGCTTCCTTTATCTGTGAATATCGTTCATCAGATATTGCTAAGTAGGTGCGGTGGTTGATGCTGTGTATGTCATGCATGTTCTCTTCAACTGAATCAGAGTCAGTGATAAGATAGGCCCTACTTAAAGTGTCAGCAAAACACATCTCTGTGCCCTTTTTGTACTCAATGCTGTAGTCAAATTTCTGCAATCTTATATAGCATTCTCTGCAGACGCTTGGGTGCATTATGCAGGTTTTTACGTACAATGATTTCTAGGGGTTTATGATCTGACTGTATCATAACATGTCGTCCATATGTATAATTTTCAAAATGTCCCATGTCAAACAATGCGGCTAAAGTCTCCTTCTCTATCTGTGGATAGTTCTGTTCTGTGGCTGTCAGTGAACGTGAAGCATATGCGATAGGATGATTATCTTGCATAAGGCATGCGCCTAGTCCAGTAGAAGAAGCATCACATTGCAAAGTCAGTTTCTTCTTTGCATCAAAGAATTTAAGAACAGGTGCACGAGACAAGGTGTCCTTGACCTTGTCAAATGCTTGTCCGTGGATATCCGGATCCCATGCAAAATGAGTCTCTGCTCTCAGAAGATCTCGAAGTGGACTGGTGATCTCAGACAACTGCGGTGCAAAACGTTGCACAAAATTTGTCATTCCCAATAATCTCTGAACTCCTGCCTTGTCTTCTGGGGTAGGTATTTCATGTATCGCCTTGAGTTTTTGTGGGTCAACACTCAACCCATCCTTGCTGATCACATATCCAAGATAAGTAACAGATGTAAGCTTAAGTTTCATCTTACTCTGGTTAAGCTTTATGTTTCTCTCCATACATCTCTGCATTAGGGCTCGAAATTTCACATCATGATCCCTTTCAGCTTCTTCATCTGTCTCACCACATCCGTAAATTAACACATCATCGTGTATAGGTCTGATACCTGGAATGCCACTTAAGGCGTCGTCCATTCTCCTTTGGAACTCCTCAGGTGCGACAGAGATACCAAATGACATCCTCAACCAGCGATATTTGCCCCATGGCGTAGCAAATGTAGTTAGGTAGCTGCTATCACTGTCAAGCTCAACGTGCCAAAAACCATCCTTTGCATCAACAATGGAGAATATACGAGCTTAATGCAATTCTGGTCGAATATCCTCTATAGTAGGTGTTGGGTAATGGTTCCGCATTAATGCCTCATTGAGTGGTTTCGGGTCAATACATAGGCGAATGTCACCGTTGCGTTTAGGTGCCACCACTAAGGCAGATACCCAGTCGGTTGGTGTGTTAACTGGTTTAATGACACCTAACTTCTCCAGTCGGTTTAGCTCTTCTTTCACTTTTGGTTTCAAGGCTAACGGTATTTTCCTAGGCGGTAACTGTACAGGTCGCACACTGTCCTTGACCTCCAAATGAAGCTTGCCATCCAGTTTACCTAGATCCTTGAACACATTTGCATACTTCTCATTTATTTCTTCTTTAATGTCAATCTGTGAAATGACGTCATTCTGAACTTGTGTCTTTGTGAGGAATTTGTCAGTATGCACAGTAATAAGTTCTATTCCTTCAATAGCTCGCTTACCCAAAATACAATGTAGCTCTTTGCCTGGCACAATAACGAATTCTAGATTATACTTCTTTCCATTACACGGATTTCGAACAGACATTCTAATGGTGCCCAAAGCCTTGGTTTCCGATTTGTTGTACATCTGTAGGGTAACATCACTTTTCTTAAGATTCTGGAGTTCTTTGTCACCTGTGAGACGTACATACACATGAGCTGACAAGATATTAGCTGTAGACCCATTGTCCAACTGAAACTCAACATATTTATCATGGATATTCATAACAGCCGTATGACGTTTTGATGATAGCGAGTGCACTTGTTCAATACTAAGAACGAGTTCATCTGATGAGTCACTTTCACGAGTCTCAATCTCATGAACTTGGGACTTTCTGCGGTTCCATGTACCACGACGTTTTTCATGATGTTTTGCTATGGGAGGCTCTTTATTAGGACATTTCCTCTCAAAATGGTTCTGCTCGCCACATAAGTTGCAAGTCTGTCCAAACGCTGGGCATTTCTCTCGACTGCGCGGATGTGTTCTCCCACAGTAACGACAAGACTGAACAGTTGGTATGGTTTGTGTGCGGTTGTCTCTACGTTTCTCATTTTTACCATGATTGTCTTGTTTCACTTTCTGTTTGACCTTGACATGGTGAACATCTGCAATAGATTTGAGTTGAGATTCAGATTTCTCATTCGACCGGCATATATCTATGCAACGCTGAAGGTCCAGTTTCTTCTCCTGTAACAACTTTTTACGGGTATGGTTATCTCGAACTCCGATCCCTTATCATCTCATCCTCCATGTCTCCAAATTTGCATATTTTCGCTAGTGTACGCAATTCTGCAACATAAGCATCTATATGTTCAGACTGTTCCTGATTTCTACAGTTAAATGTGTAACGCTCATATATGACGTTTGTTTGGCCTACGCAGTAAGTGTCAAGTGCTGTAATAACCTTATCAATATCTTTCTTATCGTCATCTGTATCAACTTTTAGTCCATCTACAACGTGTAAACCATCAGATCCTAGACAAGTGAGAAATGTTGCACATCTGAGTTGGGTATCTCTCTCCCTTAACCCCGTAGCGATCTCATAGTTTTCCCACACTCTTTTGAAATGTTTCCAATTGGTAGCGAGGTCATCTTTCAAATCTAAGGGCTTAGGAAATGGTATATTCATAGGAAAAACATGTAAATTTTGTACTGCAGCAGGAGCTGTTTTAACTTGCTCATTCTCTTCAGGCATTGTTTGTTACGAACAGAGGAAATTCGGTCCAAAGGAAAATCGGGTAGATTCTTCAATATTTGGAGCAATTTAAACAAATGACAGGCGATCAAGACGTTTGACTCACCATAAGGATTCAGTAAACACTTCTGACACCATGTTTCACTTGTTCATAAATCAACTCTTGAATTCATAAGGAACAACAAGCATGGCTTTGGCATGGCTTCCACTTTTATTGAACACGTGACAAGGGAGCAGTCATCGTATCATGCATAATAATGATAGGGAGTAATCATTATACATATAAAGAACACTGTCACAGTAAGTTGTCGCCAGTGTTTCCATGTCAACATCATAAATTAATAAATATGCCTGACTGAAATCGTAGATTTTATGTTTTTGATCAAATTTTGTACTTGATTTCAAGTTATCTGGTCCGGACAAGTGTCTCCATCCATCCCTTTCCGACCGAAATTCCTCCAACTTTTTATTATCAAACATCGGACGTGTTTCTTGTGTTTTTTTAACATCGAATATGGGTTCTCATGAATACAGAAATTCCCAGACACCAATATGCTCACTATAATTGATCACAAGTAGCCTTTCACAGAATATTCCCTTCAAACAGAATCCTTTGCCAGATGAATTTGAAGCGTAACCGCTTTTCAAGCCGATTTACACCTAGCGTAATTTGTCAAAATCTACGACGTACAGTTAGTGCAATATTTATATTCGATTACATTCGATTGTCCGTCTCAAATGTATATATAAGTAATAAATAACAAGTTTAAAAACTTCAATGGGAATTGAAATGGGTCGGTACGTGATCAAATCTTCTGAGAAGGCCTTCGGCCTTCACAGGATTTGATCACGTGACCGACTCACTTCAATTCCCATTGAAGTTTTTAAACTTGTTATTTATTTCTTAAGTAAACTAATGCGAATTAAAATTTTATTTCTACAGTAAGGCTATTTAGTAAGGCTATTATGACGTCATATGCAAATCACGTCACCTTATGTAGAGCAGATCCATTTGACATAATTTCATAGTGTTTGTCCACATTTTAGTGATTAAGATAATTTTCCTTTGTTTTTCACTAAAAAATAACACACTTACCTATATTTGACCACCGACATGATTGTGGAATATGACTTAATTTTGCCATTACGCATGCGTCAAAATTTAATTCGCATTAGCTTCGCCTAGCGGTCACACAGAGCTAATGCGAAGTAATTTGATGCGCAGTAAATTAATTCGAATTAAACTAATTCGCATTAAATTCTCCGTGTGAACGCGATTCAAATTTAATTCGCAGAAACTTATGTTTAATTTGAATTAAACTGTCCGTGTGAACAGGGCATTAATTCGCATTATTTTTACTTCGCATTATTTTTTTTGCGTATTAAATATTTAATGCGCATTCTTGTTAACAGAACAAAACACTGAGATAGAACTTGACAAATTTCCAAAAATTAATAGTTCATACATATCTCTGAAGCCTATGTACATGTACATGTAACGATAATTTGTTTACAGATTCGACCCGTGGATGGTCCAAACGTAGGTTTCTCATTTTATGGCGCTGGTTCAGTAGTGACATCTGGGAGCTATGACACAAGAAATAGATACACGGGTCTGGTATTTGGCTACAACAATTTTGGGGTGTACGTCTGGAGGGTCAAGCCTACCTCAAGGTCTTTTGTTTTTGATATCGATAGTCCATGGGGAGGCGGAAAATATAGCCAACAAACTAATGACGTGGAGATTGACATTATCGCCCTTGGAATGATGTCAAGAGGTTTAGTTCTTAAATCACATGTCGCGTTTTTTGATGTATTTTATAAAGAAACAGCATTTTAAACTCACAATCACTCTAAATGCACGGAACCCAGTTGAGGCCAGTTTAGAGAAAAAAAAATTATTGCATTTAAACGCAAAATTATTGCGTTTAATCGCAATAATCATTGCGCACAACACATTGCGTTTAATCGCAAAAGATTGTGATTGCGTTTAAACGGAATAATTTTGCGATTAAACGCAATACTTTTGTGATTGAACGCAATACTTTTTGCGGTTAAACGCAATAATTTTGCGTTTAAATCAATAATTTTGCGTTTAAACTCAATAATCTTTGTGTTTAAAGGCAATCATTTGTATCAAACAATGGACCCAACAATACTATCTTTTATTTCTTTTTCTTTTTTACTTATAAGAAATTGTGCATTGTCTAGCTTTATAGAATCAGATTGCTTCGAGCAAACGCTCTCTGAAAGGAAAAATCACTGATATGAATTTATAGAAGAGAAAAAAAAAGTTGGGCTATAAAAACAAAGGCAACCTTACAACAAGACATGTCTTTAACTTATTAGATCTCTATATTCTTAATGAAGATTTGGTCAATTACTTACAATCACAAATCACATTTTCTATTTTGTTATTTGTCTACTTTTTAACAATTTCTGTAAACAATTAGAATGGATCTTCTTAATAGAAGGCTAAAGAATTAAGAAAAAATGGTTTAAAAAATTTCCCCCACGTTTAATTCCTGCATGTATAAAGACGTTCAGGAAACGACGGATGAAATGTTGGAATTGCGTACAGCAGAAGTGTTTAAACTTAATTAAATGAAATATTTAAACTTAAATGTATATTTACAACCTTTCCTATGGTTGCATGCAGTAAACACGAGTACATAGGCGATGGAATCATATGAGATCAAAATCAAATAAAAATAGATTGATCGATGTGCACTACCAAATTGACAGGGGCTATTAATACCACTGAAACGTTCTTAATTAGTTGTTAGTATACGTAAGCAATTGATCATAGGCTTCATTAAGAATGTTAGGTTATAATACGTTAAAGATACTCTGGTTGTTAAGATGCCATTGTCTTACTACAATTTTTAAAAACTGGAAAATTTTGCAAAAAGTCACAGAACCAAATAGTTCTTTTTTGAAGTGTCGTATCCTAGTAATTGTAAGCTTTAGGTAATTAATGTCTGATTTTGAAACAACAGTATTATTGTGTTAAATGCAAACAAATCCTTAAAAGGAAGGATTATTGCGTGTAAACGCAAAGATTATTGCGTTTAAACACAAAGATTATTGCGTTTAAACTCAAAGATTTATTGCGTTTGATCGAAAATGTATTGCGTTTAATAGCAAAATAATAATTGCGTTTAAACGCAAAAATTATTGCATTTATACGCAAAAATATTATTGCGTTTAAAAGTAAAAAGTATTGCGTTTAATCGCAAAAATTATTGCGTTTACGCAATCTGTTGCGTTTAAACGCAACGTTTATTGCAATTAATCGCAATATTTTGCGTTTAAATGCAATAATTATTGCTTTTAAACGCAATAAAAATGTTTCTTTCCCTGAACTGGCCTCAACGGACTTCCGTATAAATGTAAGAGAGACGTACCGGTATATTGAATGATACTATGTAAAAAAAAAAAAAAGAATTCGCAAGTGTCACAACTTTAAGCGCATATTTTAGGTATATGCAACAAAACAGATTTAACATTAGCGAAAGCTACAATCAAAAGAAACATGGTGCGGCCGTGTACAGAGGAGAAAGTAACATGTGATTATGGGTATCATTCTGTTAATAGCAGTTTCCAGACGGTACACTGTCAATTAAACGCAATATATATATATATATATATATATATATATATATATAGTTTTGTGCCATGCGGATTGTGGGATATTTTGTGTCTTTTTCACTCACGTTGTGGGTATCATGGATGGTTTATGGGTCATTATATATTGACCCACAAACCATGTGCCTAAAAATTTGTTTATGACAATAATATAGTTACTATTTTCATTTTTTACAAAAAAATTTTTTTTGACCCATAATTACACACTCAAAAATGACCCACAATGCAATTATATATATATGAAATCTTACCACTCTGTGGATTGGCAGAATTTCGCGCGTGACCCACAACTTTTTATATACTTCCCCATGAGTATTGGAGGGATTATGGGAAACAGCTAGATTGTATAGCCTAATTGTAGTGAATCATTATCAGATTGTAACGCATTATTTATTTACATGTATGTCATGCCATGCATGAGCTTTTGTTTTTAATGTACTATGTACTACATTGTATAAATCTAGAAAAAATAAGGTTAAATAATTTGATTAGTTTTAATCGTTCTATAGTTGTGTTCTTCCTAAAGTCTATATAATTATTCAGATATGAAAGAAAGCTTCAAGTATATCATTTTATAAGATAAAATGACTTTAAAATGTTACTATAAAGAAGGCGCGTTACCCTGATGTGAACCGTGAAGTTTAAGTAATAAAGAAATATGTCAGTATGAAGTTTCAGAAAATCATTCACAACTCAAGGATTATTCAGAAAAAAATTATCACGCGTTAAGATTTTAGGGAAGTGTAATCAAATCAATGTGATTTTAACATTTTATAGATAGACAAGTACAACTGTACATATCCCACGATGTTCTTTATATCAATATATTGATCCAGAATGATGTATAGTTGCCTGTAATTTGATCCCGCAATATTCTATATCTATATATATGTACATATAAATGACCCATAATTATCCGATGCATGCATTACATGTACATGTAGAACCTTGATATAGATATATAGATATATTTATGTAATATATGTGTTTATAATATTAACACATTTATGTGAGAGAAAGAGATAAAAGATTTGGGAACAAAAAAAAATTTACGTCAAAAACGTATTGAATAAAACAAGTAATTCAAAATAGGACAATCTCTAACCATTTTACTGACTAAATAGTCTCGAGTATTTGCTTTCATCCTCCCACGGGATGAACCTCTGCCATTCAGTCGATTGAATGGTCCCTGATGGTTTGAAAAGGTGACCACTTCGCGGTTTATAAAGCGTAAACTGCCTAAACCCAGTATATATCCAACAATGTTCTTTCACTTTTTTGGATATATACGTATATCTTTATACTTATATACTATCCCACAACAATATACTCGTACTGTACATTGATCCCGC